TGATACTAGTTTGTAGGACTCTTTCCTTCTAACAACTTTAAAATATTTTCCATTTCTTCAAAATAACCGAAGCTCTACACTCCAGGCTTTTCTGAACAGGTTTGCCCTCTGCCAACCTTGATGCATTAGCTAATTCACCCATTTTACCCTTAAAGACTAGATATAAATCACCACAGCCCAATTAGACTTGACAACCTTTCCTTTGAAAGTTACAAGAAAAGAACAGAAATAAAATACAAAGAGGACCGTGCTTATTTATAGTTATTACTGGTTAAAATTTAAAAGAGCTCCACAGATGCAAGGGGGGAAAATCAATATTCAAGTGACTGATATTGTAATTCTAAGATAATAACAGTATTTTCTCACTAACCTTAACCTAGTTTCTCAAAAGAACAAAACAGTTCATCTTCATTGATTGTCATTTATACAATCATTCATCAGCCAAGCAGGGAAGAAAAATATGTATTATGTTTCTTTTAATTATATTAGATCAATAACAATAATAAAATTATTAATCAACCTTTGACGATTTATTATTTATGCCACTAGCTATTAGATGCAAAACACTCTAAAGTAGCTCATTCAATACCCTTCTTTACTCATTTTTTTCTTTCTACATACAAATAATCTCTTTTACCACCACTTTCAATGATAGCAATAACCGGTTTTGGTAAGTTTCTAACTGTAATGCCCTATAGGGAAGCTGAAGATGTAGAGATCTGATATGTGTCCTCAGAGATCTTATATGACACCATAAGATTATATTATATTTATATGAAAATATGAATAAAAATACAAGACATCACAGCAGAGCAAAGGGATGCTCTTGGTCATAATGTGGAACTGTAAACGAGAGAGAGAAATGTTTTAAAAAATGTCAATAAATGGGTATTCTATTTTTGCACATTTCTGTGCATCTATTTCTTTGAGTTTCATTGTATTCTGATTTTGATGTACTTCATCCCCAATTAGTTCTCATCATCTCTAATTAGTTATCATTGTGGAAATTTAAATCTATTTTTTTTTAAAAAGAGATGTAACTGAATGTTAGTAGAGAAGAATATAGTTAATAATGAAATACATGATAATCCATCTGGGGGAAATAAAAGACCAGCTTGGAGAATCTGTACAGAAGAAACACTGAGAGAGGAGGCGATTAAGGGAAGGAAGGTTGATTGGTGGTCCTGGGAAAGCAAAGCCAATCCAGGAACAAACATGGGCACATGGAGGCGTGAACTTCTCTGGAGTTGGGGCTATTTATCACTGGTTGTGGTATCCATTTGGACTTCCCAGCTTCTGGAGCAGCGCAGCTCTTAGCATTTGAACAATTTATTGCCTAATTATTTCGCGTGCCCTTTTGAAGCGTCTGTCTGCAGAACGGTGGCTGAATGTGAGCACAGAAAGCGGGCCCTTGGAACCCTCCCCCCCACACACACACCCGTTGCATTAAGAGTCAAATAACCTTTTATCAAATGCTTTGTGACCATTGAGAATATTGAATTTGTATTTTAATCATTGAGTTCAACACGAATATAGCCAGTGGGAAGGACTTAATTACAAACGATGTCTTTCTCATGGTTATGCCCGCAATCCCAAGAGGCGCTTTAATGAAGTTCTGAGCCCTCAGACAGAAAGGTCAAATGGCTTTTCTCCCCCGTGCCTCGGAGTGTATGTAGTTGCACCTTTATCTTAGCAGATGTTCAACCAGGTATAATATTAGCCCGAGGCAAAAATTCCAGGAAACAAGAGTTCACAGGGAAGCAATTCTCTGGAATTTAATGGATAATAGAACAGCCTGTTTGGGAGTTTGAGGAGGGGATGAATTGTGATAATCTCCATTTGAATATAAATGTATATTTTATTAGAAGTATAATATGCCAGGAGGAATAACATTCTGCTTGGAAATGAATTCATTCCATATGAAAGACTAACAATATCTTAGGTTCCTATTTTTTTTAATGTTGAAAATGTTAATGCTATGTTTATATTGTACACACATCCAGACCTGAATGGGGTGAAAACCAGCAAAAATTTCCTTTGTTGATGAATTAGGGAAAAAAGAATGGTTGAATATTCTAGTTTATCTGGGGTTTCCTGCTTAATCAAATTATGTTACTATAAGCAAAAAATGAAAGTTACAGTTTATAAAACCATGTGAATTAATTAATTATATTAATTAATAATTAGATGGATTAATTAATTAATAATTAGAAAGATAAAAGAGTACTTTTTGGTATGTTTTCCTTGGAAAGATATTTATATCATCTAAATTTTTATAATTTATATCATTGTAAAATATCTTAAGGGAAGAAAATAGCTCTGTATTTAATTACACATGCATTTCAGATATTTTAACCTGTTTGTTTTAATGTCTGTAGTTTAATGAAAAATTTGAACAGTTGACCTAAATAGTGTATACCATTATAAGACTTCTTGATGCATGTTCATTGAACACACACACACACACACACACACATGCACACACACACACACACACACACACACACACACACACACACACACACACAAATGTCTTCTAGAAAGAGAAAGCAAAATACTTGACCTAAAAGATTGGAATTGTATGTAATAACATCAATCCAATCAATCCTGACTAACACTTTAAAACACACACACTCTTCACAAGATTAAAATTTGTAATGAAATGACTAGAGACCTCTCAGTAAAGACTAGTTACCAAGCAACCAATTGGGAAATGGAGGCTGGACACAGGAGTGGGGAAGGATGGACAGCGTGGCTTTGTGGAGAGTAGCAGCTCAGAGGCCCTCATTTCTGAAAACCTGTCTCAATTGATAGGGTCCTACTTGAAATGATTAAAATATAAATAAATAAATTCTGGTGCACACACACACACACACACACACACACACACACACACACACACACAGAAGCACAAGTGCCGTCCTGAGTCATCCGATCTGATATACTTCCCAGGCAATTGCATGAAATTACGCTTTTAAACTGAAAGAGCTAAAGGAGTATTTAAACTGTCTTCATACAATTTCATGGCTGCTCACCACCAGCTTTCCCACTTGGATGGTGCTTTTTAAAGTATCCACTACCCTGACGGTTTTCAAGAAATTGCATACAGATTCTTCTTAGCTGAAAAGCAGAGGTGTGCCTTATTTTTATTAGCAGTTAATGTGGGACCTTAAATATCAGCTGTCTTGGGAGCCAAATGATTGACGTAAAACTGCAAAACTTGTAGCCTGTTTCTGCGTAGAGAAACAGAACAAAGTGAAGACAAGTACTTTGCCCAGATTTGGGGCATGCAAGAGAGGTGTCTGGTTAAAGGCTTCACTTTAAAATACTTTATTTCAGATTTAACTGTCTTCTTTTGGAGGGACGTGGTTCGCCTTTACAAAATAAAAATAAAACAGAGAAATAAACAAACAAAATCTCTCCAGCAGGCATCCAAATCCCTAAAAACCCAATGGTAAGGTGGGGTGGGGGTGGGGGCACTCCTAGAGGCAAACAGTTTGAGACAGCTCACAAAAAAAAAAAAAAAAAAAAAAAAAAGGCGGGAAGAACCCGCCCCACCGCGCGCGGGGTCACCGCCCACCGCCACCGCTTTCCCTGCCTCCCTCTGGGGTCCCGGAGGAAGCAGTGACCACGACGCGCCACTTGGGCTCTATCTCTAAGACAATAGCGCCGCTCTCCGCTGGCCAAAGGACTCCGATCTTCAGCCTCTGCCGCCACGGGCGCTTCTCCCCAATCACCTACCCCATCCGGAGACCCCGATCACCCTCTCTCCAGGCTGCTCCTCACTAGCCCACCTGCCAAGGGTCTCGGGCCACCAGTGTCTCGGCCCCCGCCCCGCCCCTGCGTCCCTCCCGAGCTGTGTCCCCCACCGCCCGCAGTGGGTGAGCCGCCCTCCCTCCTGCGACTCCTGGGCTGCCAGCTGGGGACCACGGAGTGCCCGGGATGCCGCCCAGGGCCCGCGCCCACCGCATTGCGCCCCGCTCTCGGGCGGCGGCTCTCTCCTCCTCCCTGCTTGTGGGGCCCTAGGGCTTGTTTGCTTGTCCTCAGCCCCGATGTCAGACCAGTTCCCTCCTCTGGCTGCTTCAACAGCCCTTTGCTTCCTGCGGTGTGTTTTCTTTCTTTCCGCTTTTCCTAGGCCCAATCAAAGGTGTCTCTGTTATTGAAATATGAAGCCGTTTCCTCTCCAAACCCCTTGGTTACTCAAGGCGGGAATCAATGGACCTATAGACCCTCCCCCGAGTTATAAATAAATGTCTATTTATTCAGGGGGCGTTTTCCCGCGTATCCCAGCATCTTCCCCAGTAGTTATTTTAAGTGTGTGTGTGTGTGTGTGTGTGTGTGTGTGTGTGTGTGTGTGTGTGTGTGTGTCCGCTCGCGCGCGCCCTGTGACATCTGGTTCTAATCCTGAGTGTAGATCTATAACCCCACCCCACCCACCAGACTCCCCCTTGCATTCCTCACTCTATAAATAAACTCAGGTTCTTAGGCACTATCATCTAAGGACACAATAGCAGTTGTGGGTTAAGGAAGATCTGGCCCAACATTGATACAGAGTACAGCAGCCAACAATCGGAGCAGAACAAGTCATTTGCATAAAAGTTTAGGAAGTTTAGGGGGCTTGTCTGCAGGGGAAAGATGTCTCCCACCCTTGGGTTTTCCTTTTAAGCAGAGACTAAAACAACAAGGTGACAATTGTGTAGGGGTGTCAGCAGAGGCCACAGTTCATCCCACAGACCCCTCCCAGCATCTCCTGTGGACATACCCCGGAGTAGACAGGGAGCAGGAGGTATGGTGTGGGTGGGGGCTTGTGGTCGGGCCTGCTGCTTTTCCTGAACTCCAGAGCGGAATCATCCGGATCTGAGCAGAGGGAAAGTCATCTAAAAGGCTGCTGTTTTACAAGGCCTGGGCACAGAGTTGCCCCTCCCTTCCCCGAAGTTTGCACGAAGTGCATGTTAGGCTGTAATTAGAGGATCTGGGAGGAGAACTCTCCTGGTGACGCTTTGCTTTTCTTCTGCTCCTGGTGAGAAGTGCCTCCTTCATCCCCGGATCAGGACCTCTGCCATCCAGCACCACAAAGAGACATTCTGCACACACGCGCTCGAACGCACACACCCACACCCACACCACACTCGCCCAGAGACAAACTTAAGGTCAGGAGAAGCATTAGCCTCATTCCATCTCCAACTCCCAAGTAAGTGGGACTCTGAACGCCTCTGAACTGGATTTCAGGACAAGGTAAAACTTTTAGCATTTCTGTTTGGTGTTTTCTTTTTTTCCTCTTTCATACATATCTTGGTGCCTTAAATATTTCAGAGCATTGTGCATATAATGTATGTACATAGTAAACAAATTTTATTATTTTCTTCAGTTTTTATTTAACACAGCACCTCCACTTTTTAAAGTTTATTGTCAGATAAAATATCATTGCAATAAACAGGTTCAGTCTAGACGGGGAGAAAGAATTACCTCAGGTTTTTCTAGCTTTTGCTACTGCTGCTATTAATCTGAGAGGCATGTGGTTCCAAATGGTGGCTTTTCCATCTGTATTTCAACAAGCAGTTTTATAACAAGTGAGATGAGGAAAGGGTAGTGCAGACTAGATGAAGAGCTGTGGGGTGAGGATGTCCACCCCAGATTTATGACCGCTGTCTTGGGGAATATATAGGTTTATGTGAAAAAGAAAGTTACTTCAGTCATAGGGAATATCTGTTAGATTAACAGCCTTCGAAACATTATCATGTTGAGCCTAGGTCTCTCTGGGTAATTGTAAAATTAAGAGTGGATAATTACGATTCATTTCACACAGAGAATGATGTCAATGGACAAAAAACACTTCAAGTGGTAGCACTTTCTAAAAAGTTACTTAAAAGAGTTATTTGCACATTGAAGCTACTCACTGATAAAAGCCAGCCTAAACTCAGGGGCGTTTGGGGGGGGGGGTGTTAGATTAAGTTGTTCTCTTCCATTGAATATGCCTGTTGTACTCAAATGATACAGTCTATTCGTTTGAAAATATGTTGTTTTATTTTCATTTATCACTGGAAAAGTAAACAAAGTAGCCAGTACATTTGGGGAGTTCAGGGTGGAAAATGTTCCTGTAAGTGGTCCAGTGTGATGTCATAAAATAAAACATACTGGCTGGCTGTTTAGAACCCAATGGTTATTAAGAAATAAAGTCTGTGAATTAATTTCCTAATAAATGTAATATTTATTCATTCCAAATGTAGTTTCTGGTAACCATTTCTATTTAATTATTTCAGTATCCAAAGTTTTCAGTAACTTTATACACATTTCAGTGGCATTCACATTTTAATGATATAAAGTAGAACTATTATCTAATAAAAATATATCATCATGGGTTCGTTTATTTATCTGAATGCGAGTATTTTCCATTTTATTTAATAAAAAAGAATGTTGTCAAAGGACTCCTATTAAGTTTTAGTCTTTACTTTTATATGTATACAGATATAAATATGAATAGTTTTAGCAAAGTGTTGAAATTACTTCACTTTTTTCTTTTTAGTGACTTCTTTAGTAAACTGTAAATAGCTTAAAAACAGAAATAAATAGATAAATGAATGAATAAATAGGTGAATGAATAAATAAATAAAAGGTACATTTTCTGAGAGCTGATTGACAGATTAGAAGAAAGCCAACAACCTTAAGAGACCACTGGTCCATGGGAGGAATGCTCCCAGAGGCCAGTATTCCAAACAGGAGTACCCAGTGGGTCGTGGCTTTCCGTGAGAGGGGAACACCGTGTTCTCATGAAGAGAGCCGTTTATTTCCACCAAGGCACTGTCTCTGAGAGGAATGAGTGACACTAATTTAGAAGTACTGAGGAAACCTTCACTGAGAAGAATCGATTCATTATGTCCCTAGCGGTTTCAGTTCGTTTTCCTTCCTTTGGGAGTGAGTAACACATCCAGTATAAATACGTTCAGGGTATACAGGAAAATGCCTATGGTGGATGGGCTGAACAGTCCTCTCTTTTAGTGTTCTGGGTGTGGAGTAGTGCTATTTCCTGGCTCCTGAAGAAGACTTTTGGACTGTCTTCGCACTTCATCTCTGTCAAGATGAACACGGATCATATTCAGGAAACGACTCCCTTCAGAAAATACCAGTTTTCATCTCCTTTTACCCTAGACATATTTTACTTTTCCAGATTACAGTTTGAAGATGAATGGTATCCCACCAATTAAAATTCCAGTAGCAGCCAAGGGCAACTTTGGAAATGACTTTCACAGCATAGTCTTCTGTTGCCTCCAATTAATTTCTCCCCTACCTGTAGCCATTATTACTCCACACATCACTTGGTCTATGTCATTTAAATTGACTTCCCCTTCACTCAAAGGGTAAGAAAATGTTAGGGCAAGTAAGGAAAAACAGAAGTATGACTGTGCGAGGGATTTTAATCAATAGTGTTTGACAGGATTAGAGGAAACAGCTGATTAGACAAATATTAGTGTAGAGGGGGCAAGATGGTATAAATTAATAACGCAGCTCTTCATTTACTCTATGAATAGGAGGGTCTGTAGTTCAGGGTGATGCACGGTCCCTGATCGCCACCTAGTGGATGGATGTGTATAGAGGCTTCCTTACCAGCCTCTCAGAATGTACTGGTTTGGGGGTCAATCACATACAGTTGGCCAGTTTGTTCTGGTGATACATTTTACACTTAACTAAATGACAGGCAGACTGTGGAGTGGGTGCTGAGAACAGAAATTGAAGCAATGTAATGGTTATGTAAATTAGAAATCCAGACCTCCCTGAAGAGTTTATTGAATTCCCAGTGGTCACATTCAAAATCACTTTACTCTTCATGGGTTAATTTGCTGTCAACTTTCTGCCTTCTTGGGGAAATAGTTTAATTACACAACTCACTTCTAATGTAAAGAGATATTATTATACAGTTCAAAGAAAGGTAGAGAGAGCACTATCCTTAATTAGTTTCTCAGATAGAAGCCCATTTCTGGATAGTTTGTTACTGAATCTGTCTGGATAAGGACCCTGCTAGCTTAACAGGCTAACAGACAGACACCACTGCATTTCCCTGCATATTCTTTATGTTTTTAAATAGTTGGACAAAGATATCCAAAATTGCTTTTGGGTATGAAGTCTATTTTATAAAACACTCTTAAACGCTAATAATTAGTATAGAGGACAACTTTATCTATCCCTATTGCCCACATGGAATTTTGAAACATAGACTTGGTTTCCGTGAAGTTCTTGTGAAAAAATGTCTTCCTAGACAAGCATGCTTACATGCAAAACCACTGTGTGACAGGGCCAGTAGGTATTGTTGGGGGTTAATTCTTCTGTGTACTGCCGTTTCAAAACACTTTTTCTCTAGGGGACATACGAATTATTACTCCCATGGGTTTCCTGCAATATGTATGACTTAATGGCAGCAGCATTGAGTAGTATTAATCGAGAGGACACGTGAAATCCAATTGGAAAGGACAACGGCTCAGTGGGAAAAATCTGATGAATTTCTTACTTGCTGAGCTTGCAAGTCAAGCCTGCTGTTGTGGAGTAGGGAGTCTCCTCTTTAGGAGTTCTGGGTTTGGTTTGTTTGTCCTTTTATGGCACTGGTACCCACAGAGTGATGGAAAGACAGCCACTCACCAAGTCCTCCTTCATGAACTACCACCAAACTGGAGCCTCAGTTGAACAGAGGTGGTCAGCACCATCACTCACATAAAGTGAAACATGTTATCTTTATGCTTGCCAGCAATGGGTCATTACCCATCATAAAAAAATGTCAATAATTTATCTGGCCATCCATGTGATAGAGAAGCAATCCTCTATTTATTCAGTGTGAGTCCTGGTTGGGGTGGGAGTGGGGGGCCTAAAACTCAGTTGCCCGGAAAGTACAAGTTCGGTCGTGGGTGGCAAAACCATCACAGAAGGTCTGAAGTCTTCTGGTGGCTTTGAGATGCTAGACAGACTCAGTCCTAAGAGACCTTGGGCAACTCTCTGAAATGGTGTGGTGTGGCTAGAGTATGGCTGTGTGGTCAAATTCTGTGTGACATCTTTACTCACTCATGAGGATCCTGAAGGTGATTTGGGGAATTAAATTTCTTAGCTTTGTTTCTCAAAGAAAGCCAAGCATCATCATCATCATCATCATCATCATCATCATCATCATTATTTGAATGTCAAATGTCACTTCACTTCTTTTAAGATCTATTTGTTTTTGTCTATCTATGATACTGGGAATTAAACCCAGGGCCTTGCACATTCTCAGAAGGTGCATTGCTAGATGTCTAGGAGATACTTTATAAAACAAAATCAAATGCCAATGATTCCATAACTTAGAACAGGTTTGGATCTGTTCCTTCGGGGTAACAGAAATTTCCCTTCAGTCTGTCAGTTCTAAAATTGCAAAGCAAATTCAACTTTACTTGGTTAGTTTGCTAAATTTAGATTGCTGAAAACTCCAATTAAATGAAATCATTTCTACAGCCAAATGAATGATCTTGGATCTCAGTCTTTATACTATGTGGCTCTTTCTTGTCCTGACTTTTACTTCAAGCTTTGAGGATCTCCTCTCTTAAGCATTCCTCCATTCAGTCAGCAAATTATTACTGAGAACTAGCTGTTCACCAGGCATTGGAGCAGCGTTATGTTCCGTAACCTGTCTTATATTTTATATTAGGACGGTCCATTATAAAATAATCAGAATGTCAAAATTGATAATACTGGACCTAAAGTATTACAGAATCCTGCAGTATACTTTGAGTGATGAAGGAGCCCAGAAGTTCCAGCATCTTTCTTGCTGTATGGTGACAATTTTGAAGAAGTGTCTTTATAAGTCATTTCCATTTCAACTAACTAAGGTGATAAGGGCTGTGTTTCTTGGTTGTATGGGCACAGTTAGGACTAAGAAGACAGCTCTGATGCCCCAGAACCTCACCAGGCCTAGGGTTCTGACAATATGTTGTTCAGATGAACAGGAAAAGCCAACTTGCATTTGTGTACCCTTGCTGGCTTCCAGTTACAACTAAAATTCGGACTGAGCAAGGAAGGCTTATTGCTTCCTATTTGTTCCAGGCAAGCCTCACGCTAGGTGCTACGTAGTAATTAGTGCCAGGCATCTTCAAGTTAGTGCAGAAGACTGGGGGACACACAGCATGAATCACAAGTCCGATTTGCCAAGGAGGTGAAATTTACCTTCTCCCATCCCTATGTGTCCTTCCTTCTTTGCGAGCATCCAAACAGCCAGGCCCTTT